GCAGCTGTGGATGCTGCAGTGGGCCATGCCATACTACAGACTGCAGTTCGTCTCGCATCCTTGCACCTACCTCCAGACTGATCACTTCTTGCTACTCACCCATGTTTGGAACACACATAGGGACCATCACTTGAAGAGGAGGAAGAGGTTAATTACCTGTAACCAGAGGTTCTTCGAGAGGTGTGGCCCCGATTTGTATTCCAATACCCATCTTCCATCCCCTCTGCTGTGGACTGGACTACTCACTGGAAAAAGGGTCACTGGAGAAGCATTGATCCACCCGGCCTATTGTACCCTCAGCTGCAAGCACAAGGGGATGCACGATGCACATGTGGGTCAAGGGATACTGCTAAGAAAACCTTCTGGCTCTGGTGCATGGTGGGCATGTGCACTCACATTTGGAATACAAATAGGAACCACACGTTTCCAAGAACCTCCAGTTCCAGGTAAGTAACCTCCTCTTATTACCACCCTCTATGTGTGTCAAGGGGTCTCTTTTAATGTGTGTGTTTATGCAACTTCATGCATTGTCTTCACATTTCTGTCTATAGCTTGCATATTTGATCTCTGTGAGAGCTGGGACTACCATTAAAGCCAACCGTGTGTTTGTATTTATCTTGAGATGTGAAATTGGTGTATTTTCAATGTTCACAATGAAAAATCATTATAATGGTAGTAATGAATTCATGACCACAATCCTCATCGTCAAAAATATGCACCAAAACTGATGTGAATTAGTGTGCTTCCATCAGGAGACATGACCTGAAACCTGTGAGTTTCTACAAATGTTGGGAAAATAAAAGTTGTATGGGTATTTGCAGCTATAAAGTTAATTTTAAAAATTGCTCCTTTGCTGACATTTTCCAAAGTGTTTTGTGAGTCTGCTTGATATAAACAAGATGTCAAGGCTATAAATTTGTAATTCCTCAGGGCAGGCATTAGAACTTGGAAGTTCAATTATAAAACACACCAACCAGTACCGTCTGATTTTTAAAAAATCAACAGCATCTGGAGAGCTGGGTTTTTGAGTAACCTGGAGTTCACAATGGTTGCAGCTATCGCAAGTGGAACCAGAGAGTGTCTTTTTAATAGGGTAGACTGTCCTTCACTAACTCCTATGGGGGCATGACCCCTTTCCATGTCACATCTTGTTTGCTGCAGTATCTAATGTTTTATAGCTCCTGAGAGCCTGTATGGCTTTGAAAGTACATTGAAGCAGGGGTATGGTTTGTTACTTATTAACAAGTACAGTTTTACACGATGCCTCATGACGAGCAAATTTTCTTACTATAGCAAGGGTCATCTTCACTTGTAAAAATATGGAAGGTGGTAATAGAACAGACCAGTGTATTTGGATACCATGAAATATCCATGTGGTGTTAGCTTTTCTATATTAGCATCTTTCATAAGATGTTAGTGAATATGGAACTTGTTAATACATTAGTGAAGTGAAGTTGCTAATTCATAGTTTGTACCATTTTCAGAGTACAGGGATAAAGCTAGAGCATTCAAATGATAGGAGGTTCCTGGGGAGGAGAAAAACCCTGACTCTAATTACTTCCATTTTGCAACATATTTGAACAGGATTTCTAAGAGAGAGACCCATGATTGCATGTTGATAAATGCAATATCAGAACCTGAACAGAATAGAACTGAAGCAGGTTGTGACCCCCTTGGGGGCATCAGAACAGAGAGAACCTCTCATCTGTTAACATATTGAATGCCTCTTGTACCATAGCTTTAACTTGCCTACTAAGTGTCAGTTGATGAAGGTGTAACAGCTAAATATGTGTTGTTATTGACTTTAGTAATTGGTCTGACCTGAAGTATTAGAGTGAGGTGAATAGCAGGTTAGTAAGGCAAGCCTTTCAACTCACTCTTTGACCATAGAAATCTGGGGGTAACCAGTAAACACTATCATGGTGCTCTTATACTAGTCTTCATTTACACACACCACAAAAGTGCTACATCATCATCATGTTCCCATTACGCCTCTGGCGTTTAGGGCAGCAACGAAGATCCTCCACTTTGTTTCTGGCAGGTTTTTTCAATGGTTCCCCAGCTGTGCCCCAGGTTTTTCAACTTGGCTTCCACAGCTCTTTGCCATGTTTTCGGGTGGACTCGTTTTCGCTTGCCTTCAGGTGTCCATATTATTGCTACTCTGGTGATGGAATCAGTTTCTATCTGAAGCGCGCTGCCAATCCATCTCCACTGCCTCCTGGCACTGATGGTGCTCGTATCCTCTTGGCTGCACTGTGTCAATAGATCTTGGTTTGAGATTGTTCTGGGCCAAAAGATACGGAGGATTTTTCTGAGGCAGGTTGTATGGAATGAAGACAGTTTAGACATGTCATACTTTCTCATTCCCCAGCATTCTTGAATGTTGAAAGTACGGAGCTCTGATAAATCCTGAGTTTGATTTTGGTGTTGTATTTTGATGATTTCCAGACTGTATTTAAGCTCCTGAAGGTGTTCCTGGCTTTATTGATTTTGTTCCGGATATCCTGGCTTGCTCCACCATCCTGGTTGATGGTGCTCCCCAAGTGTATGAATATGTTCTCACCAATGTAGAAACAATCTTCTATCCGTACTGGTGCTACATATTTTGCCATAAAGGACCGTCTCTTCTCGAGAAGTCAGAACTGCAGTAACAACAGAGTTGCAGGTCAAGCTTAGAGTGCATTGACAGAGCAATATAGGGAGGATTTTACATGTTATCAGCCCACAACACTATCTAGTTCAGGCCAGTCCTAGTAGTGCTTCATTTTCATGAGCAGAATCATCCATAACACTGGAAATAAAAAGGAAACGGTTGAAAGTGGTTTTTGGTTAGACCTCCAATAAACTGTTCTTGATTTGTTGTCAGACTTGTCGTCCCTTCTTCAATACAGGCAGAGACTGACTCCTAGGCCAACTGAAATTATACAGAAAATAATGGTGAAAACTGATGCATAACAATTTTCACTATTTATATGGTGCTGTAATTTTGCATGGCAATTAGATTTTTTTAAGACTTAACAAATAGACCCCTCAAACTCTCTCCCTCTTGTGGTTCTCAGGTTCTGTCCTAGCTCTGGTACACCTAATGGGGCAAGATCCCCACTCATCCTTGCCTTTTACCAAGAATTGATAAGTGCAATTTATTCTCATGATGCTCCATCATAATTCTTCATAGTGTTTCCAGTTCAATACTTTTGGGTCTGCTTTGCCCAGAGCAAACAGGTTGATATCCACTGTCTGTCCCTTTCTATGTGTAATTGTTTCTTCCCTTTATTTGCAAGCAACCCCCTGATCTTGCATGCCCCTGGCTCAAAATAAAGTTCAGATGTATATTTTCACTGTTCCTATCATAAACTAACTTAGCTGTCACCCTCTTCAGGACATTTTTAGTAAAATCCTTTTGTATGCTAATTAGACTTCTGCTGATTTGGCTCTGTGTTACCTGAAACCTGTTTAAATTTATATCCAAGAGTGATAATGCTAAGGGACAATATTTGTATAATTCCTCCTTATCCATAATTTCTATCTCAGTAATTCCAAGCAATATGAATGTCGGCCAGATGAATGAAAATGATTAGAGACCATTTCATGTGGAGAGACTGAAAAGATTGGTGCTATTTAGTTTAGAGAGGAATTGAATAAGACGGTGTGGTGGAAAAAAATTAATTGACACAGAGAAGTTAAATTGGGTGCTCCTGTCCAGCCTTTCTATTAAATAAATAAATAAATAAATAAATAAAAGATTGGGAAGGAGCAGGAGGGAGAAGGGAATATTCAATGAAACTGAAATTGATTAAAAAAACCAATTTAACTCACCCATCAGTAACAAACCTTGCCTTGGGCAATCAAGAGGGTAAAATTTTACAAGGTTGCCTGGGCTGGACAAAGATAAAGCTTCTAGTTTAAAGAGTTGATTGCTCCCTTTGTTCAGTCCTACAAGCTTTTGAAGACCCATGTGTTTTTACTGCACCTCAAATGGCAATCTGTATTTCACCAACCTCACTACAGTGTGTTGAATTTAGTGAATAGACAGATTTAGCCCTGGTTTAAATAGTGTGTATTGTATTTCATTGGCTTGGTCTGAGGCTAAAATATTTGTTCCTCCATTTGCAGAGAAAAAATGAGGCTTTGAGAATTTTTTGTTTAACCACAAACTTGGAAGAATGTTCAGCTTCTTCTAGTTACAATTCCTGCTGGTACCAATGCTTCAGTTTCACATGATGCCTACCAGTAAGGGAGTAGGATATTGTTGATGGCCTGAGTGGGAGATGGAGCAGAGCTAGTAATCACTGGCATGTTCAGAAGTAGTCATACAAAAATGTAATATTTTCTTCTAAGCTGGGGCAGAAACAAATTGGGGTAAAAGGAGACTTAAAATACAGTGAGGACAGTTAACCATTGGAACAATTTACCCTGGATTGTGGTGGATTCTCCATCACTGGAAACCTAAGATTGAATGGTTTTTTTCTAAAAGATCTGCTCTAGATCAAAAAGGAATTAATTTGGGGAAGTCCTATGGCCTGTGCTATTCAGTAGGAGTTATATTAGATGATCAAAGTGGTTCCTTCTGGTGTAATAATCTATGAATCCCTGATGTTTGACCATCTTAAATTTTACTTACGAGGTGAGGCTTGGGAAGACAGGTGTACTGTTTAATACCAAATAAAGCTTAACTTTGATCATTTGGCCAAAAAGAGGAAACTCAGACCACCACATGCAACTTCTCTTGTTTGGCTGAGGTCAAGTGACAGATCTTCTCCCATCCCCAAGAACAAAGCGAGTCAGAACTTCAATCTGGATTTAGGGCAAAGGGTCCTGTCTCCCCACTTTGTTCTACTGGCTAGACTATGAGGCTCTGGATTAAGAGTACTACCCCTTTCTTGTGGGGTATGTATATTATCTGCTCTTTACCTTAGGATCAGCATAAAGAAGCAGAGAATTGTTTTGGCCTGCAACATGGCATGTATGATATGATTATGCACTTAAATTCTCTCTGGCAGGTGTGTTTTTTATAGAGGGACCAAATGTGTGGCCACTGGTGAGAATCTATCGAGGTGGCTTTCTCCTGATAGAATTCCTCTTCCTCCTGGGCATCAATACATATGGCTGGAGGCAGGCTGGAGTGAATCATGTCCTCATCTTTGAACTCAATCCCCGCAGCAATTTATCCCATCAGCATCTCTTTGAGGTAAGCAGAACAAGCCACAAGAGCCACGGTGCATTTTAAACATCAGCAGAATAAATCATCCTGTTTCCTTGGAATGAATGGTAACATAACTATCGAGAGAAGGTTCAGGAAAGGCCAACAAAAATGATTAGAAGTATGGAGCTGCCTCCATATGCGGAGAGATAAATAAGCCTGGGACTTTTCAGCTTGGAAAAGACACGACTAAGGAGGGGATACGGTAGAGGTCTACAAAATCATGACTGGTGTGGAGAAATTAAATAAGGAAGTGTTACTTACACCTTCTCATAACCCAGGAACTAGAGGTCACCAAATGAAATTAATAGGCAGCAAGTTTAAAACAAACAAAAGGAAGTATTTCTTCACCCAAACCACAGTCAGCCTGTAGAATTCTTTGCCAGAGATTGTTGTGAAGGCCAAGATTATAACAGGGTTCAAAAAAGAACTAGATAAATTCATAGAGGATAGGTCCATCAATGGCTATTAGCCAGGATAGGCAGGGATGGAGTCTCTAGCCTCTGTTTGCCAGAAGCTGGGAATGGGTGACAGGCGATGGATCACTTGATGATTCCTGTTCTGTTCATTCCCTCTGAAGCACCTGGCATTGGCCACTGTCAGAAGACAGGCTACTGGACTAGATGGCCCTGTGGTCTGACCCTGTAGGATGTTCTTAAGTCAAGAAAAGGAGGTTACTGATGTGTTACTGATTTCTTTCAGAGTAACAGCCGTGTTAGTCTGTATTCGCAAAAAGAAAAGGAGTACTTGTGGCACCTTAGAGACTAACCAATTTATTTGAGCATAAGCTTTCATGAGCTACAGCTCACTTCATCGGATGCATACTGTGGAAACTGCAGAAGACATTATATACACAGAGACCATGAAACAATACCTCCTCCCACCCCACTCTCCTGCTGGTAATAGCTTATCTAAAGTGATCACTCTCCTTACAATGTGTATGATGATCAAGTTGGGCCGTTTCCAGCACAAATCCAGGTTTTCTCACCCTCTGCCCCCCCCACACAGAAACTCACTCTCCTGCTGGTAATAGCCCATCCAAAGTGACCACTCTCCTTACAATGTGTATGAAAATTAAGGTGGGCCATTTCCAGCACAAATCCAGTTTTTCTCGCCCCCCCCCCCCTTTTCCAAAAACCACACACACAAACTCACTCTCCTGCTGGTAATAGCTTATCCAAAGTGACCACTCTCCTTACAATGTGTATGAAAATCAAGGTGGGCCATTTCCAGCACAAATCCAGGTTTTCTCACCACCACCCCCCAAAAAACACACACACACAAACTCACTCTCCTGCTGGTAATAGCTCATCCAAAGTGACCACTTTCCCTACAATGTGCATGATAATCAAGGTGGGCCATTTCCAGCACAAATCCAGGTTTTCTCAACTCCCCCTCCCCCCCCCACACACACACAGACTCACTCTCCTGCTGGCAATAGCTCATCCAAACTGACCACTCCCCTTACAATGTGTATGATAATCAAGGTGGGCCATTTCCAGCATAAATCCAAGTTTAACCAGAACGTCTGGGGGGTGGGGGAGGGGTAGGAAAAAACAAGAGGAAATAGGCTACCTTGCATAATGACTTAGCCACTCCCAGTCTCTATTTAAGCCTAAATTAATAGTATCCAATTTGCAAATGAATTCCAATTCAGCAGTTTCTCTCTGGAGTCTGGATTTGAAGTTTTTTTGTTGTAAGATAGCGACCTTCATGTCTGTGATTGCGTGACCAGAGAGATTGAAGTGTTCTCCGACTGGTTTATGAATGTTCTAATTCTTGACATCTGATTTGTGTCCATTTATTCTTTTGCGTAGAGACTGTCCAGTTTGACCAATGTACATGGCAGAGGGGCATTGCTGGCACATGATGGCATATATCACATTGGTGGATGTGCAGGTGAACGAGCCTCTGATAGTGTGGCTGATGTTATTAGGCCCTGTGATGGTGTCCCCTGAATAGATATGTGGGCACAGTTGGCAACGGGCTTTGTTGCAAGGATAGGTTCCTGGGTTAGTGGTTCTGTTGTGTGGTATGTGGTTGTTGGTGAGTATTTGCTTCAGGTTGGGGGGCTGTCTGTAGGCAGGGACTGGCCTGTCTCCCAAGATTTGTGAGAGTGTTGGGTCATCCTTCAGGATAGGTTGTAGATCCTTAATAATGCGTTGGAGGGGTTTTGGTTGGGGGCTGAAGGTGACGGCTAGTGGCGTTCTGTTATTTTCTTTGTTAGGCCTGTCCTGTAGTAGGTGACTTCTGGGACAGACAGAACCTGGATTTGTGCTGGAAATGGCCCACCTTGATTATCATGCACATTGTAGGGAGAGTGGTCACTTTGGATGAGCTATTACCAGCAGGAGAGTGGGGTGGGAGGAGGTATTGTTTCATGGTCTCTGTGTATATAATGTCTTCTGCAGTATGCATCCGATGAAGTGAGCTGTAGCTCACGAAAGCTTATGCTCAAATAAATTGGTTTGTCTCTAAGGTGCCACAAGCACTCCTTTTCTTTTTACTGATTTGATTATAGTGATGAAAGCAGCTCTTCCTTGGGCTCTATAATATGGAATTCAGAATTTTCTTAACTTCGTTTCTCTCCTCCATCTTTTATTAGATTGCTGGATTCCTTGGGATGTTGTGGTGCTTGAGCCTGCTGGCATGTATATATGGCAAATTCACCCATGTCCCTATGCAGGTGAACCCACTCATCTTGTATGGATTCATGTTGCTTTTCCTCATCAACCCCACCAAAACTTTGTATTACAAGTCCCGGTTTTGGCTGCTCAAACTGTTGGTAAGTCTGGAACCTCGTACAAACTCAAGAGAAACTGATGTGGGTAATTGAACTTAAGTAGTTGAAGTGTGTCCAAATACATCACTAATTTTCAGACTTGGAAGTGTATGCCACACAATTTTATGCATGCTTTGATTCAATAGTACTCAAGCAAGTCCGTGCATAAAGAATTAGACGTGTATTTGTTGAGCATAGAATTACAGAAGTTACTCTCAGTCTTTGTACTATTTCTGTTATGCTCTTATACCAAGGGTATGTACACACACACAAAAATAAGCATATGTGGTGTATGCATGCACATACAAATGTACCGTATAGCTTTCCTCATGTCTCAGTCATGCTCACTGTATCTCTTCCCTAACAAAGTAGTTTGGGTAACATTACAAAGGGCTGCAAAGCAAAACTGACAGAATGCTGTTTGCCCAAACTGAAAATGGGCCAATACTCAAATAGAGTATTCATGGGTGGCAGACTATAGCTGAGGTAACTTTCCTTTTATAATAACTAGTTGAAACTACTTTTTCAACATTTCTTTTCTATACTTGTTCTGAATGAGAGAGATTAATATTTTAGTATTGGCTATTGTTTCCCTGGTAACAAAAATCCGTAAAAAATGAATGGAAACATATGCTAATGCAATATTAAGATTATAAATGTAAACATCAAACCAGTAGTTTTCAGCCATCTTGACCCAGGGATCTCTTTCCAGTTTTTCCCAGAATGCATATACCCCTGCCGCCACACCATATGCCCACACATCCTTTAATTTTCATTACTTTTAATCAGATTGATTCTGTCATCTTTTCACTCTTGCTGTTACTGCTGTGAAGGCTTGGGTTCTGTCTGGGCTTCTTAGAAGACTTGAAATTTTCTGGCTAAATAATTTTTTGCTCAATTTGCACTGTAAAAATACTGAGTGATTTGCAGGAGGGAGGATTAAGGCCGTATAGGTGGGTCCTGGAGTATCCTCCTCTGTGGAATTATTTTGCTAACACTTGCTAAATATTTTTTAAATGGTGCTATTTGGAACAATTCAAAGATAAGACATAAAATTGGTTTTCAGCATGAACATGTATATGCATATACAAGTAGACATTAAGTGTATTCAGATTTTGTTTATATACATCTTATTTTAATCTTTAAGGGTTCAATTTTCTAATAGTTTTAACATGCTGAGTCCCTGCTCCTTTTATGCTCCCTTCTTTTCCTTTTCCCTTTCATCATTCAACAGATCACCCTCTCTCTTACTCACAAGTGCTTTTTCAGATGCAATCTTGCTCCTTTCTCCTCCCCTCCTTTCTTCAGTCCCTAGCCTGGCCACCTGTATTACTGCCGCCTTATCTGAGGGAAGCTAGGCTAGTCTCCAGCCTCCCCCTCCCACACTCCATCCCCATTGGAAATAAATTAGCAGGGAGTTTATTAGGGTCCATCCTGGTTCAGTTTTTGCCTTCCGTTGAGGAACAGAAGACATCTCTCACCTCCAGATGCTCTGCAACATAAACTAGTTATATTTCACTCTGACACAAAGGCGGGGTTTTCCAGACCAATATTAGTTCTTGAAGGGAATACAACACTTTTTTCCATAAAAGGAACTATAATTGGTTTTATTTCTGTGGGGAGTGATTGTGTGGGTTCCAGTCTCTCAATTATAGCATTATTGTGGCACCACTAGCATAGGCACAGTGAAACATATTGGCATGATAGAGCTAGAAAGGAAGCACTCGAAGTCTTCGCAATGACAGCAGCTTTGGAAATTCTGCACAAAGTCAAAGGACCTCACACAGTTGTGCCCATAAGGTAGTAAATGAGACTTTTTTCCCCCCTGTAGTCCCCCATCACTGAAATAACAAGCTCTGATTCATGCATGGCAGGTTACCTGCACAGCTTCTTAGCAGACAGATTGCACATTTTGCTTCACATTAAGCATTGCAACTGCCGTGTGTAAGTTAATGAACAAAGACTAGTTGATGGACTACATTGGGAGTGATGGTGGCAAGCGGAGATAACACAATAATGAAATGAATTGAGCTAGCAAAACTATTAAAATATAAAAAAGCAACTTCTGCAATTATTACTGCAATAACCAGAGTTCACAGGTGCAATCTAGTTAATAGTTTCCTTTGTAAGAAACCTTGGAGGTTGACACATCTACGTGAATCAGAAAAGCTTGCCCCTTGTGACTAATTGGAATCTGAAGGAGAGAAGCCACTTATACAAAAGGTTTCTAATGCACAAATCTCATTGCCCATTTTGACACTAACAATAGACACTTAGTCCCATTTATTTACCTTGGGTACAAATTCAAAACTATGTATTTCATTAGCTTCATCCAGTATATTCTGTGCCTTTGGACAACTCCCTGGGCTGGTATACACAACTTTTTTACCGCTTTCACTATATCAATTTAGAAATAGATTGTGGTATAATCCACCCATTGTGTGAACAGTGACATTGGTATGGCATTTGCATCAGAATAGTTTTTCTTTATTTCTGTCCAAATTTATTGAAATTTGCTGTATGTTATAAGCATCTTTATATGGGTATACCTGTGTCCATGCTAGAGGTTGTAGTGAATTAATCACCTCTCTGTCTAAACTGATATAGTGAAAGAACAAAAACTTTGTGTATAATAGCACTTTGGCTGTGAACTCAGTAAGGCATAGTGAACTGACACCTACAGGCTTGAGGTCTCTTAAGGAGAGATGGCTCACAAAATGCAAGATGACCTTAATGTTGCAAAATAATACAGTACATTTAACTATATGTAAGGCCAAAAAGCAAACAGACCACATGAAAGAATAGCTATAGGGGCAATTTATGTTCACCCAGATATTATCAAAGAGGGGTTCTGACTACATAAGAATTTTTTATGAGTTAGCCAGGAAAGATCCCTCCTGGCCATATTAGAGCTCATTCTGCTAGGGCTCGAGCAGTTTACCTGAGATATGTAGAGCAGCGACGTGGTGCTCGATTCACCCATTTACCTAGCACAGGCCTCCAGATCAGATGCCAGTATTGGTAAGGCTGCCCTGCAGTCAACACTCAAGAAGGACCCCTTGTACCCAACTCCATGGAAACAGACAGCTGCTTGTTAGTCACTAAGAATGAAATCAGCGTGGGTAATTGCTTGAAGAAAGAACAGTTACTTAAATTACGGTAACTGTGTGCTTCTTTGAGGTGAGTGGTTCCCACGGATTCCATGATCTGCCCTCTTTCCCTGCTAATGCGGAGTCCTATTCCTTTGGGATTCTGTATTGACGAAGGATCTGAGGAGCGAATGCTGTTCATACCCTTGGGTAGAAGGCACAAGGACACCTATGGTGCAGGCGCAGCCCCAACAGAAGCTGCTAGCCAAAAAAAAAAATCAGTACTCAACCACGGTGGTGCACAGGTGCTCTCAACGGTAGAATGCATGTGCAACACATCTTGAAGAATCACAATTACTGAAGGGTAAATAATCTTAGCTGTTCAGTGCCATGGTGGATAAGCAAGCCCAGGGAGCACCTGGTTTTGCAATGTAGAAATCTAGCAAGAGTTTACAGGTAGATGAAACATCCATTACTTCAGCACTTTTTAAAACTACAGTTGTCAGCTCCAGAATGCCCATATTCACCCTGGCTGGGAAATGGTCCAATCACAAAGGTGACCAAAATTTGAAACTAAAATTCAGGTCTTATTCTTTGTATTTTAAGCACAAAAATATTTCTTAATGTTGTCAGAGCCAGGCTTTGTTAGCTCTGGGGTCTGGTTTTTGGTAGATGTGGCAGTTTCGGCAGCTGCCAGGGTGGATTTGATTGGTGGTACTTGTCACTGGGAAAAGTCCACTTGTAACCGCACTGTAAACTCTGACCTCTCCCTGTACCTCTGGCACCTTCTCTCCCAAACCTGATTGTGTACTTGGGGCTCAGCTGCTTCTTTATTCTTTATTCCAGTGTGCTCTCTGCCTGCCTCACTATTGAGCTGTGTAGTCATTGGTACACAGTGGGGTCTGGGCTATTGCACATGAGCAGTGTTCCATGCAGAACTGCATACCAAGGTGTGCACTGGTCAGTGGAGTAGCAAAAAGGAGACACGTTAGGGTGAAGAAGTAGGATGCAAAGAGCACAGAAGCAGTTGGGATTAGGAGGATGGCCAAAGGGTGGATTATATTGAAAGTGATGATTCAGTTCCCAGTATAAGTGATGAGAGAACTAGTGCCTTCTCTAGGGTTAAAACACACGCCTGGTCACTCTGTCTGCTGTAAACTTCAGATGGAGAATTCTAGTCCATCGTTGTATCTATCTAGCTTAGGTTTTTATACGGAAGTCCAGCCCCAAAGTATCTGAGCACCTTCCATGTAAAAGCAATTGCAAAGTTCCTAGTGGACTTCATAGAGCATCTCTCTCTCTTCCCCCTCTTTGGGCTAAAAACACTACTTGAGATAAGGGCTTTGGTTTTGATTGATTAGATATTGTTTGTTTTTTAGGTTGACTTGTTTCAGCAATTTTTTGGTTGGGATTAGTTGTGTAGAAGGTGATGTCAGTGCTGAGGGTCATTTTTATGGTGGAAAGGTCTTTTTGAAGAGAGGTTTTGCAGTGTTCCTTAATTACTGTTAGACTGGATTTTCCTGATGTCCTTTGGATGCTTGTTACATAGCTGAACCCTTCAGCTGAGAACACTTTGTCCCTAACTCTCATGTGCTTCTTCTTGGGCTTTGTGATGTGCATTGTCCTAGAGGAACACAGCTGTGTCTCTAGTTCACACACTGAAATGTAGTCTTTAAAGTAGCTGTGGCTTGATCCATTAATTGCTTTGAAGATTAGGACCAAAGTCTTAAACTGGCATCAGAAACTGACTAGGAGCCAGTGGAGAGACTTGAGCAAAGCCCTGATGTGCTGTGTTCTGTTTTCTTCCAGTGTCTGCCCTGCATATTAATAGTAGAAACCTTTTACTCCTCTACAGATCAGTTTTACCCAGTGCTTTCTTAATAGAAAGCTTCATAAATGTCTGAACTGCAGGACAATACTGGTGTTATCTTTTAGTTACTATAACTAACCAGTCAGGGTCAGTTGTAATCAAAGGTAGTGGAGCATGAACATTGCCTTCTTTGAAAGGAGTTTAACTGCTGTCAAGCCTTGGAGGGAAAGTGGGCTGGGATGGAGAGGGAGTCTGATTAATATTTGACAGTTAAAATTTCCTCTGCTTTTTTAATGTAACCCTTTAAACTCTTGAGGGATTTGGGGGCCCTACATTAAGGCTGAACACTGCAGACACATGGTCTTAGGGGTTGGTATACGAATCTCAGTCAAGGTCAGATTAGAGGCCAAGATAGTGGTCCTGGACCTAGTGGGTGTCTGGTGTGGAATGGGGAAGAAGCATGCTAAGATGTGCAAGTGGTTATGGCGGAAATGCTGGGGAGGAGGGGTCAGAAGCTATTGTCAGTGTCATAGATTGGGAAAGATTGGTTACATAGCACACTCTTAAGTGGGGATTGTGAGTTTCTTTGGAGAATCTTGGCTCTCGCTTTGAAGAGATTAAAAAACTCAGGCCAGCCAGAAGGGAAAGGCTGTGAATAACTGAACACAAGGGGAGGAAATGGATGTCTGAAAGAGGAAATGTTATGCTCAGTTTTTGTGAGCGACGGGGAAGTTCTATGCCAGGAGGAGTGATGAAATGGCAGATCTTTGGGGGGGAGCAGTGTGATATTTCATGTTAATTCAGCACAGTCTCATCTCCTGCCACTGTACTGTCAGTCTGCTCTATTAATATCTTTCATGCTAACTTCATGCTGTTTTAATTCCCAGTTCCGGGTGTTCACAGCCCCCTTCCATAAGGTAGGCTTCGCAGATTTCTGGCTGGCCGATCAGCTCAACAGCTTGGCTGTGATACTTATGGACCTGGAGTACATGATCTGTTTCTACAGCTTTGAGCTGCAGTGGGACAACAGTGCCGGACTGTTGGCAGATACAGGTATAGTAGTGATGAAGATGTGATGGTAACAAATATGTATGAACACTTTGCCCAATAGTCCAGGAACATTGATACAAACTGAACATTTCAATAGGCAGATTATCTTTCTGTCCTTTAGCAAAAATTCTCCCAGTGACATAGGAAACTCATCCCATCATAAAACACAGCCCTAGAAATTTTATTCTCCCATCCCTTACTGCCCTATTTTCCAATCCATTCGTCTGGTATAACCTGCTTCTGTGACTGGGGTGACCTGTGTTTTTCAAAACTCGTTTGCCAAGATTTTGAGGTGTTCTTTGGCAGAGGAAAGACACAGCAGTTTTCCAGGCTTGGCTGGCAGTTTTTCAGACTCTTTTCCAACCATGCAATCACAATTAGCCTTTTGTTGCTGCTTAGTGTTAGTGATTCATAGAAGCATTGCAAAGCTGATTACCAAGCATTCAGGGTTTATGGGGAAATAGTCTCATGAGGATTTTTTCCCCTAAGGGCTCTTCTCCTGAGGGTCTTCCATATTCCTAATACAGTTGTGTGGGTTCCTTTCTGTTTGATCTGTGCTTTCCAGACTATTTCTTCCAGGTCCTATGTTTCAATGTTGTCTTTTCTTCTGGATGGAATGGCAGGAACTTTCTCAGAGCTCATTGGTGCCATTCATTATTCAATTACAGTTGACATTGAGAGAGACAAGGGCTATGCACACTGCCTCCACATCATTACCAGCTTGGAGAGCAAGAGACGATATCTAAATTTTAACTCTGGTCTTCCCCATGGCAAAACATTATCTTATGCCTCTGGACGAGTCCACAGTCATTGTCTTTCCATTTTAACCAGTAACCACTGACAAATCATCTTGACAGTGGGCCTTTAGCATATATTGAGAGAACTTGAAGCCTGTTTTCTGCATACATTAGCATTACTTTTTATTCCTCCAGTCTTGCCTACTTCAGAACCTTCCACCTGGTTGTATTAAGGCTGCATTCTAAGGGTCTTTTCCCTGTAAGCATTAGTTAGAATTAAATTAAACTGTTTAAAACAAAAAACTGTGTATACTAAAGTTTTCTGCATCAAACTAAAAAGTGGAATAAGAACACAGTTTCCCCTGGAAGAAATACTGATTGATCGATCTGAGGGAGTGAACAAATTCTGTATATTGATGACCTGATGTTTTTCAGGTGTGCTGAGCACATTTTGGAAATTAAGCCATAAATGACTAGATATTCACTTGTGTAAGAATGTAACAGACTTTGGAATTTACACTTAACTCGTCGATTTTTCTGCCTTTTCCCAGTTACTTATTGGCAAAAATCATTGCACCCCTAAAAATGGGATTTTCTTATGCTAATTGGTGATGTGACCATATTAGGAAACCAACTCAAATCGGTTGATAGTTATAATTAAAAGGACACATTCAACTTGAAATCTACATGGCGAGATCCACACAAACAGGAGAAACATTGAAATTAAGTATACACGGTGCTATCAAATGCACAAAGTAAATAAAATAAAACAAAAGATTTTTTTCCCCTATGCTTTCATTGATAGTAATCTTACTTGCTATGTGTAACAATACTAGGTTTTAAAATTTTCTAACTGCAGTGTGTTGTTTCAGCTGTCTCTCTTTAAACCCGAGCAGTGATCTCTCCTGTTATTGAAGGAAAGGGGTTTGGAAAACCTTTCCTTGACTGAAACACCTGGTTGTGGGATTGAAAATGTTGAGATGCTAAATATAGATGCAAGTGCAAAGCATTGTGAATTGCACCGTTGCTTAGGATATTACAATTGCTGCTTCCAAAAGCTTAGTTTCACTCATCTCTTCAAGGAAGGTAGAGGAAGTGAGACAATTGGAAGGGAATGAGAGAAGAAATTAAGTATTTTGTTTCCATGTCCACTGAAACATCTCTTCTCTTGTAGGTGATCAGATTTGTAACAGCTACTCCTACGGTGTGCGAGCAGTTGTCCAGTGCATCCCTGCTTGGTTGCGTTTTATCCAGTGCCTGCGCCGTTACCGTGACACCAAACGGGCCTTTCCTCATCTGGTTAATGCTGGCAAATACTCCACCACCTTCTTCATGGTGACATTTGCAGCCCTTTACAGCACTCACAAAGGTATTGGATTTAGTTATTTCACAAAACTTTGCAGAACCTCCTGCTGTCTTTTGTCAGTTTCTGCTCCTCAGTCATCTTTTCTCACAGTGGTGCTAACGTTTATAGAGAGAAAACAGGATTATGGATAGAGCCCTGCAAATCCATGGGTATCTGCTTTAATCCATGGACCATTTTTTTGGATAGCCGCTCAGATGCAGATACAAATTGTATATCCACACAGGGCTCTGACCATAACAGATTCACCAGAATGGAGTAGCTGCTGCTGTTACCCAGCCCCCAGGCTCCAGCTCAGCTCTCTGAATTGCACAGCAGCGGGTATAGCCCACTGGGTATTCTGGTAGTTGTAGTCCCCAGCTTGCTTGGACGGAGGAGGTAAACTACAACTCCTAGAAGGGAGTAAGCCTAGTGCCATTTTAAAAGAGGTATGGTGTGTGATTTAAATTAGCAGGCGGCAAGGACCCTGTGCTATGAGGGGGAGAGTAGTTATCGACACTCTCTGCCTGGGACTGGTCTGCATGCATTACTGCTCCTGCAGCTGCCTAGGGGTGTCTGAGCTTCCAACCCCTCCCCCCTCGGAGGGTGGCGCGACACGCAAGGGCCCAGGAGTGTAGCCTTCCTACCCAGAGTGGGGAACGAGGGATGGTGGGGGAAGGAGCAGGTGGTGGGGCAAGCGGTGTCCGGGGAGAAGTGGGCAGTGGTTGGGGGCTTGGCAGAGCCCTGCATCACTGTCAAGGGCGCTGGAGCCCTCCTAAAAGTGGGGGGCTGGGGAGCTCGCCCTCCTGCCCAGAATGGGATGGGGCCGAAAGCAGCCCCCTACCAGCCCCCAGGTCTCCCACCCAGGGCAAGTGGAGGGACCCCGGCTCCTCACAACTACCCACATGGCTCTCCCCGATCTGGCTCTGGCTGGCGGCGGGGGCCTCGGAGCTGCAGCTTGGCCATGATAAGAGCCAGGCAGGCAGCTGTGGGGAGCCGCAGCGGCCCTCCACCTGCCCTGGGTGGGGGGCCCGAGCAGCCCCCAGCCTGTGTCCCCACCGCCCCTACGTTCCCCAGGGCAGGTAGAGAGTCTGCAACTGCATGCTGGCTCCTCACAGTTGCCCACCTGGCTCTTATCATGGGTGGGCTGCAGCTTCAAGGCCCCCACACCGTGGCCGGAGCCGGGGCAGGGAGCTGGTGCGGAGTTGCAGACCCTCGACCTGCCATCAGCCGGGTGGGGACACAAGCCAGGGGCTGCTCTGAGCCACCGTTGTGCAACCCCCCTCTTCCCACCACCACCACCACAATAGGCAGGTTGGGGGTCCGCTGCAGCTCCCCACTGCTGCCCAGGTTCCCCGGCAGGGGTCACTTCTCATCTTGCGGGGAAGAAGTGAAGGGGGCAGGGTCTGCCCTGGTGAAAAGTGGAAGTGCCCTGGCCCCCCGGGTTCCAGCACCACTGGTCACTGCTGCATGGTGAACTATGGAGCTGTAAATTAGAGCCTTGCAAATCCATGGATATCTGCATCTGCGGATTCAGATATCCACCGACAACTTTTGTGGATCATGTGCGGATACGCATTTTTGTATCCGCGCAAGGCTCTAATTATGGATAGTACAAATTACATTCTTACCTCACCTCTTATTAAAAGGGTGACTGCTATAAAAGGTAAGAGAATACAGCAGAATTGAGGCACTGTGGATTGAATTACAGTAAATAACATTGTTTTAAAAAATGCATTGATAACTTTGATATCAGTTCATCCCACTTTTGGCACTGATTGAATCTTCCACTGCAACTGATGATTCCTCAGTGAAATAGGACCAGTCTGTAGCATTGATTCATGTATAGTATGATGCAGGCTCAGATAAACTTTCATCAGTTCAGTTCATTTTCTTCAATTTTCCTTCATAATAAAGTATAGTGATCTATTTAAAAGTAGTAGGATTTGTCCCCAAGAGTGGGAATTGAGAACTCAGTTTCCCATTCATATGAATATGAAACGTTTTCTTTTGGGTGGGGGAATGCAATTTTTTAATCAACAGCACTGTACTGTGCATTGTACTGCACGCTGTCTACCATCGTGAGAGAGGCATTTCAAAATTTCATTTGAAATTGTTGATCTATTCAGTGTAATTATAATGGGGCTTAAACGTAGTCCGTGGAGAATTTTAAGGGGAGGGTCAAAGGTTACTAGTGATAATGAGGCCGTCTCTTTCCCCTTCAGAAAGAAAATTCTGAAACACTAAGAAATTTCCCATCCTTTTCTTTCTGTGAATAGACACTAATTTTTGACTCTCTAGATGTGTAAGGAAATGGACTGAGCTCCTACTTTATGTAGTAGTTACCAGTCCCTTGGTATTCAAGGGCTACTGTCGGAGATCAAACTGAACAGAGCTGGTCCATTATTTAGGAAGGTAGGGGAGTGTATCTTGTGCTAGGAAAAAGCCTCCTCTGGGTTTCATGTATATTTTTATCCCTTTTCCTTCTCAAGCTGGTGGGGAGTTGTTTCCAACCCATTTCACTGCCAATTGAGCTTTCTGATCCCTCAAGTTCCCTATCTCCGTGGAAACCGCAATTATTACTTGATTCTGCTCTTGTTGTGAAGGAAAAAGCTTTTAGCTCCTGCACTTCAGGCAGTCACCCTGTCTTTCATTGTTCTTTCTCCCCCAAGTCCCATGTCAGTCCAAAGCTTTATATTTTCCACTGAAATAGATGTCTGCTGTATCTACAGAAATTAGCAACAATATACACTTGTGAGGTAGTTACTCATCCATGTGTATGATCAAGGCGATTGATAGAGAAATCAGAAAAATATACAAAGCTTCCTTCTAGCTGTCCTAGTAGGATGTTTCCTTCAGGTGGACACCAGGTTTAATAGAAAACCTTGCTGGTGCCAAGAGTTGGTGCTAGTTGGAAGTGGACTGGCATCTGGGAAATAATACAAATAAAACACAAGCCTTGAGCAATGTAGATGGCGTATAACGATGTATTAGTACAAGCTGTCTGAAGACTGAAAGTCAAACAATATTCATGAATGTATTTTGTATCCAAAGGTATATGCATGCTTCTCTTGGGGGTGTTAAGTAGTAGACTTTGTCACGGCTGATAGCCGTCATGTTTGACTCCTCTGTCTGTCTCCCACCATCACCTCCACAAAGACTATTCCCCCTAATAGTTAAGATATTCCCCTAGTGGTTTTTTTTTTCTACTGCTTTTCCCAGTCTGAGGCTGCAGTCTAATTAAAATCCCTTGCTCCTAAGCTAGGCAATCAAACAACAAATCTAGGATGTAAGGCTTGCAATTAATGCTTCTGATGTGAACCTGCCATACCTTCATTCAGGAGGACTGATTAAGTTTTTCACCATTAAGGGCGTTCCAAAATAGTCACTCTTATGAAGAGGGAGGAAATTGGTTGGGGGCAAGCTCAAAAATATGTGCTTGTAAAATATGCCTGTTTAATATAAGTTGGAGCTCTTCTTAGTCCCCTTGAATTTTGCACCTGTGCCAATATCACTGACAGCAGGTTTCATTGCTATTGTGTATAATTTTACGTCTCTCTTCAAATCTGACACTTGGTCATAATGAGGTGTTTACATATCATAGAGACAGGGCCTGTTCAGATTGCTAGTTTAAACAAGGGCTACCCTAGAACACATCGTCTCATCCTTGGCATAGGGGAGGTGAATTGAGAAGATAATACTGTCATTTAAGGTTATTTGATTTTTGAAAAACAGAAATGGGCCACAGCTGAGGATGGGCAGAAAGTGTTCTCACTCCAGTTTTCCAATCTCACCTCTCTCCAGCCATGTTCCTTCCCTCTTGCCCCGACGGCTCTTCTCTTCCATGCAACCTGGTGTTCCCCAACCCTTTATCAAAGGACCTCAGGGCCCAGCTGTCTCTGCTCGGCTCTGGTGAAGAAGCTACTACAGCCTTCTGGCCACACCCTGTTAATACCAGACACTTCTTTAAGGAGTGTCCCTATCAGTGCTCCTCTGTGGGTGTATCTGCGCCCCTGTGCCTCTAATATGAGATTTTAGGTAGCAGTGTCTGTTCAGCCTGCACGTGCGCTCTCCCTCCCTCATAGTCTACCTCAAGGCTATCCAACACTGTGCAGGTGAACCGCAATCAGTTCCTTGTCAATCACTCTTGGCCTGCAAGGGAGCGAGGAGTGAGCAGTTGTCCTTCCTTATCTGCATCATTAGCATATATAGTAATTGTTTTTTTCTTTTGTTCTCCTTAAAAGTTAGTGTTTTCTTTTTACCCCTTGTGATTTAAAAAAAAAAAAAGAAAGAGAATTTCAGTTTGTTTCCCACCCTCTTCCAGGGGCATTTAGAAGACACTATAAGTTCTTTCAAGTTTAAAAAAAAAAATTTAAATGGAAGAAGAAACTCAAAATCCTACAAAAAAGGGAAACTAGATCAAATTGCTGAGTTGCCCAGTCGCTCTGGGGAAACTCTCGGCTGGCCAACGACTCAGCTTGGGAGCTTGGAGCCCTTTTTCTCGAGCCTTTGCAGGGGGAATGTGCTGGTCTTTTCAGCAACTCTACCCCCTTCGAAGTTGAAGGCTCTGATGATGATCCAAAGTCAGCACATACCCTGGAGACTGAAATGCCTTCTCCATAAGGAGGAGTGTTAACTTCAGTGCCCTGTTCTTGTGAGATCTCAGCTTTAGCTGGTGACAGAGGGAGCATTTCTGAGGGATATGGGACTCTCCCAGAAATGGTTGTAGGGGACAACCTTGGTTCAAGTGATCATGAGCTAATTCAGTTCAAACTGAACGGAAGGATGAACAAAAATAAATCTGCAACAAAGGTTTTTGATTTCAAAAGGGCTGACTTTCAAAAATTAAGGAAATAAGTTAGGGAAATGGATTGGACTGAAAAACTTATGGATCGAAAGGCAGAGGAGGCCTGGGATTACTTCAAGTCAAAGCTGCAGAAGCTATCGGAAGCCTACATCCCAAGAAAGGGGAAAAAATTCAGAGGCAGGAGTTGTAGACCAAGCTGGATGAGCAAGCATCTCAGATT